CAATGAAGGCAGAGTGAGAGACCTGGACTTCTACCCCTACCTGGCATGATGAAGTTCACCCACCTACCTGCTGGTGTGATGTTAAAAGAAGCCAGCTGAAACAGTTTAAATAAGACCAATAGCCTTAGAACATAATGCCCAAAATGTCCAAGTTTCAACTGAAAATGATTTGTCATTTCAGGAACCAGGGATATCTCAAACTGAATTTTAAAAAGACAATAAAAAGATGCCAAAACTGAAAGAAAAGGCTTTTAAATGAGGATTTTAAAGCCACCATCATTAAAATGCTTTGACAAGCAATTAAAACTTTAAAGAATGAAAAAAATATGATGTCCAATTTGGTGTTTTAAAAAGAAGAAGAAGAAGAAAAGAGCAGAAACGAGAAACATACGATATTTCAGCATTAAAATAGGAAAAAAAGGAAGAAAATGTGAAAATTTTAGAACTGAAAATTACAATAGCCAAAATAACAAGTACAATAAATAAGGTCGACAGCAGGAGACAACAGAGGAAAGAATTAGCTACCCTGAAGAAAGAACAGTAGCAATTACCCAATCTGAAAGGAAAGAGAGAGAGAGAGAGAGAGAGAGAGAGAGAGAGAGAGAGAGAGAGAGAGAGAGAAAAGAAAGAAAGAAAGAGAGAGAGAGAGAGAGAGAGAGAAAGAAAGAGAGAAAGAAAGAAAGAAAGAAAGAAAGAAAGAAAGAAAGAAAGAAGAAAAACTTGTAATACTGTGTCATATGTTTATAAACATATACAGAGAAAATATTACAGGTAATTATAAATGAGGGAGGGTAAACAAACATAAAGGAAAAGAAGTGTCAATGCATCACTCAGACTGCATTGATTAATGACAATAGACAAGTTATGTAAATATAATGTAATACTTAGAACAACCACTAAAACAGCTAAACAAAGTGGTACACACACATAACTATAGATAAATAAAATAGAATTTTAAACTTGTTTAGAAAGCAATGAAAAAGAAAACAAAGAAATGAAAAACAGAAAGAATAAACAGAAAACAAAAAATAAAATGTCAGACTTAACCCTGGACATAACAATATTATATAAAAAATAAATGGCCTAAATACATCAATTATAAGAGACAGAGCTTGGCAGAGTGGTTTTAAAATATGACTCGATTACTTGCTGTTTATGATAAACTTACCTCAAATATAATAGCATAGGCAGTTCGTAAGTTAAAGGATAGAAAAACATATAACATCCAAAAACTAATAAAGAAAGAAAGGGTGGCTATATCAATGTCAAATAAATTCAGAACAAAGAAAACTATTAGAAATGAATAAGGACACTGTATAATGATAAAAGGGTCAATCTACCAAAAAGACACAGCAATCTTAAATATGTATGCACCAAACAACAGGGCTGCAAATTACATAAAACAGAAGCTGATAGAACTGAAAATAGGCAAATCAACAATGATAGTTGAAGACTTCAATAGTTTTCTCTCAACAATTGATCAGACAAAAATTCAGAAAAAATATAGAATTAAACAACATCACCCAATAAGATCTAATCATTTATAGAACACGCCATCCAACAACAGAAGATACATTCTTTTTTTTTTTTTTTTTTTTTCTTTGCTCTTAGTAGATTCCATGAGATTTTCTCCCCTGCCTTTTAAGTTCAGGGGTACATGTGCAGGTCTATTACATTGGTAAACTTGTGTCATAGGGGTTTGTTATACAGATTATTTCATCATCCAGGTATTAGGTCTAGTAGTCATTAGTTATTTTTCCTGATCCTCTGCCTCCTCTCAACCTTTACCCTCCAATAGTCCCCAGTATGTGTTTTTCCTGTCAATGTGTCCATGTGTCCCACCATTTAGCCCCCACTTGTAAGTGAGAACATGCAGTATTTGGTTTTCTGTTCCGCATTGGTTTTCTAAGGATGATGGCCTCCAGCTCCATCCATGTCCCTACAAAGGATGGGATCTCATTCTTTTTAAGGCTACATAGTATTCCATGGCAGAATATACTTTTTTTTTTTTTTGAGACAGAGTTTCACCCTTATTGCCCAGACTGGAGTGCAGTGTCACCATTTCAGCTCACTGCAACATCCACCTCCAGGTTCAAGCAATTCTCCTAACTCAGCCTCCCAAGTAGCTGAGATTATAGCCACACGCCATCATGCCCAGCTAATTTTTGTATTTTTAGTAGAGACAAGGTTTCACAATGTTGATCAGGCTGGTCTTGAACTCAAGACCTAAGGTGATACACATGCCTCAGCCTCCCAAAGTGCTGGGATTACAGGTGTGACCCTCCGGGCCCAGCCAGAATACACATTTTTTAAGTGACCAGAGGATATATGCCAAGATAGACCATATCTAAGACAATAAAACAAACACCAACAAATTTTTGTAATAAAATCATACAGAAAGTGTTCTCCTACCACAGTGGAACCAAACCAGAAATCAACAACAGGAAAATCTCTAAACATTTGGAGACAAAACAACACACTTAGAATACACGGGTCAAGGAGGAGGTCTCAAAGAAATTTTTCAAGAATACACACAATAAACACAACTAAACAAAAATGAAAATACCATATCAGTATTTGTGGGATACAGTTATAGTAGTTATGATGAGTAAATTTATTTTAAGTTCCAGGGTACATGTGCCGGATGTGCAGGTTTGTTACATAGGTAAATGTGTGCCATGGTGGTTTGCTGCACATATCAACTCATCACCTAGATCTTAAGCCAAATATGCATTAGCTATTTTCCTAATGCTCTTCCTGCCCCCACCCCCACCCCAGACAGACCCCAGTGTGTGTTCTTCCCCTCCCTGTGTCCATGTGTTCTCATTGTTCAGCTCCCACCTATTAGTGAAAACTTGTGGTGTTGGTTTTCTGTTCCTACATTAGTTTGATGGGGATAATGACTTCCGGCTCCATCCATGCCCCTGCAAAGAACATTATTTCATTCCTTTTAATGGCTGTACAGCATTACATAGTGTATATGTACATTTTCTTTATCCAGTCTATCATTGATGGGCAGGTGGGTTGATTCCATGTCTTTGTTATTGTGAATAGTGCTGTAATGAACATATGCATGCATGTACCTTTATAATAGAATGATTTGTATTCCTTTAGGTATATACCCAGTAATGGGATTGCTGGGTCAAATGGATTTTCTGGTTCTAGATCTTTGAGGAGTTGCCACACTGTCTTCCACAATGGTTGAACTAATTTACATTCCACCAACAGTGTAATAGTGTTTCTATTTCTCTGCAAACTTGTCAGCATCAGTTGTTTCTTGAGTTTTTAATAATCGCCATTCTGACTGTCGTGAGATGGCATTTCATTGTGGTTTTGATTTGCATTTGAGAAGTAAACTTAAAGCACTAACTGTATACATTGGAAAAGAGGAAAAGTCTCAAACCAATAGTCTATGCTCTCACCTCAAGAATTAAAAAAAAAAAACAGCAAAATAAAAAGCAAGCAGAACAATGAAACTGAAAACAGAACAACAAAAGCAAAAACAAAAACAAAAAATCAATGAAGCAAACAGCTGGCTCTTTGAAAGATTAATAAAACTGGCAAACCACTAGCAAGACTCACAAAGAGAAAAAGAACACAGAAGATAGAAATTACCAACATCAGAAATGAAGTCCGGAGATCATCAAAGATTCTGTAGACATCAAAAGGATAATAAAAGAATTCTATGAATAATTCTACATACATAAATTTGACATTCAAATTAAATAAATCTTTTCTCAAAAAATATAAAGTGCCACAACTCACTAATTCTAAAATAATTCAAAAATTTCTACACCTATAAAGAAATTGAATTCATAATTTTAAAACTCACAACAAAGAAATATTTAGGGACAAATAGTTTCAACAAAGAATTCTACCAAAGACTGAAAGAAGAATTAACACCAATTAACCATCTCTTCAAGAAAACAGAAGCAGAGGAAGCATTTCCCAGTTTATTTTATAAGGCTAGAATTACCCCTATTTCAAAACCAAACAATGACAATGGGAAGAAAACTGTAGACCAACATTCCTCAACATTCCTCATGATGCAGCCATCTTAACAAAATATTGGCAAATAGAATTTAGCAATATATAAACAGAATTATATAAAACAACCACGAGAGTTATCTCAGGGATGCAAAGCTGGTTGGATATTCATAAATGATCAATGTAATCCATCATATTACAGGCTGAAGAGGAACATTTACTTGTTAATATCAATTGATGAAGAAAAAGTATTTAACCTACTTTAACACCCATTCATAATTTTTTAAATCTCAGAAATATAGGAATAGAGGAGATCTTTTTTTACTTGATAAAGATCATCAACAAAAATCCCATGGCTAACATACTTGATTGTGAAAGATCGAATAGTTTCTACCTAAAATCAGGAACAAGACAAGAATGTCCACTCTCACCACTCTCATTCACAGTGTTGGAAGCTCTAGACGGTGCAATAGGCATGAAGAAAGAAATTAAAGGCATACAGATTGTGAAGGAAGAAATAAACAGTTCCCATTTGTAATGACATGATTGTTTATGTAGAAAAATCACAAGGAATGTACAGAAAAGCTTCCAGGATATTTGATTTCAGCAAATTAATAGAATACAAGATAAACCAGTATGAATTGTATTTCTACATACTCACAATGAACAGGTGATACCAAAAGTATGAATATGTTATTTACAATTATTCAAAGACATGAAACACTTATGTGTAAATCTAACAAAATGTGCAAGACTTGTATGCTAAAAACTATGTAGTGCCAATGAACGATATCAAAGATCTATGTAGTCTCTATCTACATGGAGAGAAATACTGTTCATGGATTGGAAGATTCAACAAAGTAAATATGTCAATTCTCCCCAAAAACTGATATACAAATTCACACAATTCCTACCAAAATCTCTGCAAGATTTCTTGATTATAGGCAGGATTATTCTAAAGTTTACATGGAAAGGCGAAGGAACTAGGATATCTAAAACATTCTTCTTTGTATTATTTTATTATAGTATGTGTAGTGTATACTAACATAAAGAAAAAAATATAAACAAAATGAAAGTCATAGGGAAAATGGCATCTTGCTTTAATCTTCAGCTTAAAGTTACCCTTAACAATCCATTTATATCATTATGTCAAATTTTAGTCATCCCTGCAGAATTTTAGACAAATGAAAATGGACAAGGTAACACCAAAGAGTTAAGCACAGAAAGTGATATTGATTTAAAAGTTGAAAGTAAAATCTGCCTTCGCTAGAAATAAACATTCAGATCTGTCTCTAGAGGAAAATCTAACTTGAATCATAATGGTTCATATTTTGACTAGTTCATACCATATCAATTAGCAACTTATGACTTGAAAAGACTTTTTCTCAGCTGCACTTGACTACCTAAAATCCCACTGAGCATGCTGTTCGGCATGTCTTATGCCTCTGAAATCATCATCTACTTTCTAAAAACCAGAAAATGAGTTTGCTTGTGATTTAAATTTCAAAAAATAGTTTGTAGAAAACACAAAAAGAATCAACTGTTTAAAGTCTTACCCTTTTCTTCATTCTACAATAGCTACTTCTACCAAAAAAAAAAAAAAAAAAAAAAAAAAGGAGTATGTGAATACTTTCTAGGAACTCAAAAATGAGGAAACCAAAATCAGAGAGTGCATGAATATATGTGCACACATATGTACAGACTTAATCAATCTCTCTCTCTCTCTCTGTCTCTCTATTTTGAGATGCAGTCTCACTCTGTCGCCCAGACTAGAGTGCAATGACAAGGTCTTGGTTCACTGCAACCTCCACCTCCCAGGTTCAAGCAATTCTCCTTCCTCAGCCTCCCAAATAGCTGGGATTACAAGCACTCACCACCACGCCAGGCTAACTTTTGTCTTTTTAGTAGAGATGGGATTTCACCTTGTTGGCCAGCTGGTCTCAAACTCCTGACCTCGTGATCTGCCTGCCTCAGCCTCCCAAAGTGTTGAGATTACGGGCGTGAGCTACTGCACCCAACCTGTACAGACTTAATCTCTACATCCCTCAAAACAGATTTAAACAGGTAATCCCAACATTCTAAATTCAGAAAGCAAAAAAAAAAAAAAAGTTTTTTTCTAAATCAGTGGTATTACTAGCTGAAATGTTTAGTAGATACTTTACCTATAGTTCAGCAGTACTTTGTATCCCATTTAAGAAATCAAAATAATAAGCACATTCTTCTAACAGCAAAGAATTCCCCACTTTTTATTTATTTTGACCTACTGATATTTCCATTAACTTGCACATGAAAGATAAACTGTTCAATAAAAGCCTTCATATATATATAATATACAGACATTATTTTAGAAGTCTGTTCATATAACAGATTATTTTGGTACTAACAAAAATTGTATACAATTCATATGGCTAGAAATGAGCCACCACTAAACTAAGATACACAGGGCTTTCCTGAACTTCATTTCAGGAAAAATTCCAAGTAATTCTTACTGTGTTAGAAGAATAAGGTACATTTGTCATAGTATACATTATCATATTCCCTTAAAGCAGTGACTATTTAAAGTTTTTGAACTAAACAATGTCCATGCTTGCTTCTGTCTGTACATTCAGCAATAACCGTATCATGGGTTACATACAATTCTCTCTTCATGCCAAAAAAAAAAATAAAACCTCAAAAAACAAAACATAAAAACCCTCAAAAAACAAAAAAGAAAACCCTCAGTCAGTTGTTTTCTTAAGTGTAATTAAGACAAACTAATAATAGCAATTTAATTAGCAAGCTGTAAATCAGAGAAGTATAGAAATTCAGCAGTTAAACTGTATTTCCCACCTATTACTGCTGTTACTCAATCTATTTTCTTCATGTATTAGAAGAATTGACAGGCATAAAGAGTTCCTAATGTTGTGACAATCTTAATAATCCTTTAAAAGGTAAAACATTGTGTGCATATGTGTGGAAAAGGGTCGGAAATAAAAGCAGAAGGTTAAGACAGGTATTTAAAGGGAGTGCTGAGATAAACTACATTAGAATGTTTATTTTTTTAAAAAACTGCTCTGAAGTCTGCTCAGTGTATCAAAAACATTTAAAAAAAAAAAGCAGACATTAGTGCAAGTTTAACTTTATAATACGTAGGGAGGAAAAAAGGCTAGTTTTGATGAGAAAAAGTTCAGACCTTTCCTTGTAAATACAAAGAAACTCAACAGGAATTTTAAAGGTAGTGGCCAGAAAATGCAACTGACTTAGAATCCTTTTCAATGAAACAGACAAATCAAATTGAAGGCAAGTGGTAAAATACTATTCAGCATGAATATTTTTCAGTCTACATATCCTGTTGTTCAATTGGCTTTTGATTTAAAACAACAACAAATCAAGAAACTTTATAAGAGCTACCACCATATTTAGAGTGATGAAAATAAATTAGTTCCCCCCCAAAGATATTGCTTAACCTCTAATACACAAAACTATACACGATCTTATACAAATTCGCCAGTGTTTTTACAAAAGTAGTGCAGTTTTGGACTGATGATATTACACTGTATTTGTGGTAAAGTGCTAGGCACAAGAATATATATATCTCAACCAGGCATTTTCAGTCTAGTCAGCCTCTAAGGTCATCATTTAATTCTTGGCAATGTATAATAACTGGTATCATTTTGGTGCTTAAGTCATGAATTGTGGGGAAGAAGAAGCAATAGATTATAGCAACAGGGTTTATATCTAACAAACAACTGCAGTGTTGAACAAATCTCTCCTATGAACTTCGTGGTTTGTTTTGCTGTTGGTCACTTGCAGTAGAACCTTGATTTGATTCTTCCATATTCAGGCTTTCTCCACCCGGAGTCTCTAACATTGCTTCATCTTCATCATCAACATATAGTTCTTTTGAAATTAATTGTCTAGCTAGTTTGATATTGAGTCCTTCACTGTAGTGAATCTTCCTTTGCATTTCAAATTGTCGCTTTTTTCTCTCCTTCTTCAGGTGAGAGGTCACTATCCTCTCCACGGCCTTCTTGTTCCTGAATCCGATATTTTGGCTCCAAGCCTTCAGCAGCAGCTAATTTCTTAGCTAAGATACTTGGTGCCATGGCGTCAGTGGCTTCTGTATCACTGCACGCATCTTCATCATCACCCAACATACTGTGGTAAGGAGTGCTTGGTTCATCTATTTTCATTAAACCATTGTCTTTGCTGGATGATACGTCGCCAGGATGTTCATTTCATCCCACTTCTGGGATTTTGTGCTCAGTTCCTCGTCGACACAACCGCAGCCTGTTCGGTAGATGCCACCATAGAGGAAGTCGTAGAGGTTTTGTTCTTCAGGATCCCATTGATGGGCGGGTGCGAGGCCATCCAGGCTGCCATTGCCGGGCGCTCAGGCTGTCAACTCAGGGTAGCTGCTTGGCGTGGGGTCCGCGAAGAGAAGGGTCAGCACTGGCAGAGGGCTGCAGGCAGCTGCGGAGCCCCCTCAGGGCGAAAGTGGCCACCTGCTGCCTCTGACACGGCTACTCGGCTACTGGAGCGTTCTGGGGGCTCCTTGGGCACCCTTAGACCCAGCACTTCACTTGCTCGCGGGAGGACGCCGACCTAGAGCTCCAGGGCGGGAGCAACGCCTATGCCTAAAACATTCTTGAAAAAGAAGGATAACGTGATTGAACATCAGCCTGCCCTATTTCAAGTCTTGTTATATAGCTACAGTAATCATGACTATGACTATGGCAGAGGAATGGGCACACAAATCAGTGGAACAAAATTGAGAACCCAGAAAAAGATCCACAGTCTGCTCAAATGATTTTTGAAAAAGGTGCAAAAGGAAGTCAGTGGAAGAAAAATGGCCTTTTTAACAAATGGTGAATTGAACAATGGTGACATGGAAAAACTGGGCATCTACAGGCAAGACTGTAAAATAAAAATGAACCTTGACGTAAGTCTCACACCTTATGCACAAGTTAATTCAAAGTGAATTGGATTGTTTGAGTCCAGGAGTTCAAGACCAGCCCGGGTAAGATAGCAAGACCCTGTCTATAAAAAAATAAATAAATAAACAATGAAAAATTAGCTTGGTGTGGTTGCTCCTGCCTGTAGTTCCAGCTAATTGGGATGCTGCAGCAGGAGAATTGCTTGAGCCCAGGAGTTTGAGGCTGCCATGGACTGTGATAGCATCACTGTACTCTAACCTGGGCAACAGAGCAAGACTGTCTCAAAAAAAAAAAATTGTCAGAGAAATGCAAGACCTTAACCTTTACCATATACAATTAATCAATTAATTAAAATAAATAAACAAAATGGATTAGGGAGTAAATGTAATGCATAAAACTACTAAAAGTTTTCAAAAAAGGAGAAAATCTTTGAGATACAAGACTGGGCAAAGAATTGTTAAGTTTCACATCAAAATCATTATATATAAAAGGAAAAACTGATAAATTAGACTTCATCAAAAGGTAAAACTGTTGTTCTGTGAAGATCTGGTAAGAGAATGAAAAAATTAGCTACACAGAAGGACAAAATATTTGCAAACCATATATTGAACAAAGGACTAGTATCTAGAATATATAAAGAATTCTCAAAACTCAACCAAAAAAACACTAAACAATTCAATTAGAAAATAGGCAAAAGACTGAGGGTGATATTTCACTAAGGAGGCTATAAAGATGGCAAATTAGCACATGAAAAGTTGTTCAACATCACTGACCATTAGGGAAATGCAAACTAAAACCACAATGAGATATCACTCCACACCTATCAGGATGGCTAAAATAAAAATAGTGACAATGCTAAATGCTGACAAGGAAGAGGAGATACTGGATCACTCATAATTTCTAGTGGGAATGTAAAATGCTATAGCCACTCTGGAAAATGATTTGGCGGTTTCTTATAAACAAAACAAAACAAAACCAACAACAGCAACAATAACAAAACCCGAGAACTAAGCATACTACTATTAGCCTGCCCAGCAACTGCACTCTTGGGTATTTAGCCCCGAGAAATGAAAAGTGGTACACACAAACACACGCACACACAATGCCTTCACACAAAACCTTGTATGAAAATCTTTGTCTACTTACTCATTCTAGTAAAAAATAACCCAGATATCCTTTAACAGGGAAGTGGTTAAACCAACTATTGTACATTTATACCATGAAATACCACTCAGCAATAAAAGAGAGTAATTGAGACACACAACCTGGATCAATCTCCAGAGAGTTCTACTGAGTGAAAAATGCCAATCCCAAAAGGTTACATACTGCAGTCAGCTGTGATCGTGTCACTTCACTCCAGCCTGAGCAACAGAGCAAGACCCCGTCTCTAAAGACAAAGAAACAAAGACGGATTATCGAGTAAACATAAAGTGTAAAATAAAACTAATAAAATTTTAGAAAATTAGGAGAAAATCTTTGAGATGTCAGGCTAGGCAAAAAATTCTTAGGCTTGACATCAAAAGCACAATCCATTTGTATTAACAAGCTTGAAATGACAAAAGTACACAAATAGAGAAAAATAATTCATGGTTGCCAGTGGTTAAAGAAGTGGTGGGGATTGGAAGGAGGTGAACTTACCATAAAAGGGAAAGGTAAGGGATACTGGGAGTGACAGAAATACTGTCTTGACTGTAATATTGACATTAATACAAATGTCAATATCCTGGTTACAATATTGTACTGAAGTGTTATAAGATGTTCCCATTGGGGAAGCTGGATAAAGGGTAAAAGGTTCTGTCTGTATTATTTATTACAACTGCATGTCACTCTCTAATTAGCTCAAAATAAAAAGTTTAATTTAAAAAACATGTATGAGGGTGTGCATACTTTTTCAAAATATATTTAGGAAGTTCATGAGTGGAAAGTTTGAGTGAATATAAATTATATCTGGAATTCTGGTTTGCAAATTAGCCTGGGAAATGTAGCCTGACTCAGGTGTGACTCACCTGTTCTCAGCTCTGCTGTTGCTCACTGCTAACATTGAAGCCAGGTATCTCTTGAGTTGCAGGGCAACCAAGATCCCATGATCCAATGTTGCTCTCACTCACCTTGGCCTTTGAGAGAGAAAAGGAAAATAGTTGGAGAAGGAGGATTTTCCCTTTGCCCCATATTCCTTTGTTACAGGCTGAACTGTGCCCCCCTATCAATTCATAATGCTGAGGTCCGAAATCCAGTACCTCAGAATGTGACTTTTTTTTGGAGTTAGAGTTTTAAAGTGATAATTAAGTTAAAATGAGGTTATGAAAGTAAGTCCTAACATAGCTAGTATCCATATAAGAAGAGATTAGGACATTCATACACAGGGAGCAGTCCATACGAAGATGCAGGGAGAAGACAGTCATCCACTAGCCAAGGAGAGAGGCCTCAGAAGAAACCAACCCTGCCGACACCTTGAGTTCACATTTCTAGCCTCCAGAGCCATGAGGCAATAAGTTTATTTGTTTAAGCCATTCAGTCTGTGGTATTTCTTATGGTAGCCCTAGCAAACTAATACACCCTGCTATATTTGGACCTAGGCCTGTCCTTCTTAAGGGAATGTGAAAATAAGACTTGTTAAGGTTGGTTGGTTGGCTGGTTTTTTGAGATGGAGTTTCACTCTTGTTGCCTAGGCTGTCATGCAATGGTGTGATCTCAGCTCACCACAACCTCTACCTCCCAGGTTCAAGCAATTCTCCTGCCTCAGCCTCCTGAGTAGCTGGGATTACGTGCATGCGCCACTATGCCCAGCTAATTTTTTACATTTTTAGTAGACATGGGGTTTCTCCATGTATGAAGCAGGAACGGCAAGGAACAAACCTCTCCAACACTGAATTGAGGAGGAAAGTGGCTTTTTATTTGGCCAGGAGCTGTGGGGGGTGCTACAGCCTCATTCGCTGAGCTCCCCAAGCTGCAGCTTCTCTCCCCTTTTATAGGCTTACAATGCTAAAGGGGAAACTGAGGTGGAACTATGTCATTGTCCATTTGCTGGACATCTCACCTTACCATCTTTTGGCTTTATTGATTTGCTAATTCATATGCAGCGCGTGCGGGAACGGCAGGGGAGGCGGCTTACAGAGACAAGGTAAAGCCAACAAGCTGTTTGTTGACAGAGGTGTTTCCAGGAGGGATCCTGGTCCGTGGAGACGTGGAGATGTGGGGGCATGAACAGTGCCGGGCTCCAGCCGGCAGGGATAACATTCATTTGCAGCTCTTTCAAGTTAACAGATAGCAGAGATGCTGGAACTAAAAAGGGAGTTATTTTCCTAGCTCTTTGGAATTTTATTTTGTTTTTTCCCTTCTTCACCCTCCTTCCCATCTGGGAGTGGGGGAGGAGGTGAAATAGGAGAAAGTGAGGGGGTCTCCCTTCTCAGTAGAGATGCGGTTTCTTCATGTTGGTCAGGTTAGTCTCAAACTCCTGACCTGAGGTGATCCACCCACCTCAGCCTTCCAATGTGCTGGGATTACAGGCGTGAGCCACTGCGCCTCGCTGCTGTTAAGGTTTAACAAGACTTTATGAAGGCTTGGGCAAAATTGGAAGAAAAAAAAAGACAATAGAAAATTCTTCAATTCTGATCACAGATATTATAGATCTAAGAGATCACAGGCTCCAGCCCATCTAAGGGTTCTCCATCTAGAAACAGACCTGGTATGGCTGATACTACTAATACTTGCCACATTCCTTGGGCCATACCACTGCAGGGCACACTGGCTGGACATCCGCATGCTTTCTGAAGTCTTCATCGAAGCCAAGAAGGGCCATTCTGCCCAACTCACAGAAGACTAGAAGGGCCGAAGAGTTCACATGTCAGGCAGCAGTCTTCAGTCAGTGATCAATGGGAATTGATATACAATTGCCCAACTGCCGCCTTCCGTGCTGGGTTAACTCTGAAGCATGTGCTTTCCCAGAATTTCCCCAGGGGATTAAGTTCCAGTCACTCACCTTTTGTTGGCTGTTTTCCCTTCCCCATCTAACTTTCACTCAGCTGCTATTGAAGTTTCATGTACCTCCAAAATAAATTACTTTCACTCATGTCCTTATGTCAGGGACTGCTTCTGGAATAAACCAACCGAAGACACTCCTGGCTGGCTTCTAATTTGCTTCACAGCAGTAAAGGTCAACTTTCCTCTGCATGTCCCAAGAGAAAACCTAGCCATGACCTCATCATGGTCCTTGGATCCCCAGAACCCTGTCTCTCGTGAAACCCTGATCCTTTCCTTTCCTCCTCAAGATCTTTCCTTACCCAGCATGTATAACCATCCATTCTATTGCGTACTAAGCAAAGAGAGTTTAGAAACTGTGAGAAATATTTTTATTTTGTTCAATTTTTTAATATTTCATAGACCAGAAACAGCACACACTCTCTTTGATCCCACCCTTGTATGCCCAAAATATCTGAGGTGAAGGAATCACTGACCCTCTGTCACACAGTTTAACTGGATTACAGAGTGCAAAGCCCCAAACCAGTTCCTGACGCTCTTTCTTTCTTCAGCGTGTGGATTCCTATCACTTCCACGGCAGGAAAATTGGCTCTAACATTATCCAGAGTCCTTCCCAAATCTATTATTTATGGCACAAGTGCTGATTTCAGATATCTAATAATCTAAGGTTTTTCATCTCCAAAGACCTTTATTTCATTTTGCCTCTGTCATGGTTTTCTATTTTATTTTATTTATTTGTTTTTGGGAAAGGATCTCACTCTTTCACCCAGGCTGGAGTACAGTGACCCGAGCATGGCTCACTGTATCCCCAACCTCTTGTGCCCAAGCCATCCTCCTGCCTCAGCCTGCTGAGTAGCTGAAACCATAAGTGAGCAAGCGAGTGCCACCATGCCTGGCTAATTTTTTTTTAAGAGACTGAGTCTCATCATGTTGTCCAGGTTGGTGTTGAACTCCTGGGTTCAAGCAATCTTCCTGCCTCAGCCTCCCAAATGGTTAAAGGCGTGTAACCATCACCCCTGACCTACCATGGTTTTCCAATGTAAAATTTTAAATGAAAAATCTTAATGTTTTGGTCATTGCTGTCTTGCCGTAGTTTCCCACAGCATGAGGGGAAATGCGTTATCTTCCTCTATTGTAGAAAGACACCTGAGGAAAACAACCTTTGGTTGCTTTCTCAGGATTGCTCCTGCCATATACCTGGAATGTGTAAAAGCACACGAAATATCCTAGCATAACACAAACCACACAGTTACCTTGGGACCTAGAATAGAATAAGGAAGAGGGAGAGACAAAGGAAACCTTTTACTCCATACCCTTCTGTATGGTTCGAACCTTTCATAATAAGAGTGAATCCAGACATTTGCTGTGAAATTTTCTAATTTAGACTAAATGATTAGAAGAAACAGAACTTAAATGAATGTCCACTAGGGGGTGGTAGAGAATCACAAGCCATACCACAGTCTGAAACTGAAGGGCAAAAGTGAATAGTCAAGCTCAGAATCACATGCTGCTGCCCATTTGTAGTTATAAATCTTTATTAACTAGTTCAGTGTGAGATCTAATTTCTTCATAAATGCCAAAAAATATATAATATGCTATTTTGAGCAACGCTTTTCAGATTATGTTCTCATACAGCCTTTTACAGCCCTTTACAGCTTTTCTGTAAACTGGCCTGAGATGTACCAGTAATGAAAAATTGAATGACAGGGTTCCATTGGGGTCCGAATCAACACACTAACTGATTTAGGAGATTAGAAGATAGATAGATAGATAGATAGATAGATAGATAGATAGATAGATAGATAGATATAGATAGATACACACACACACACACTCCTCTCCTTGAGTCCCCCTGGGTAAGCTGAGGCATGAGTACTCTGAAGGAATACCAACCATGAGTGAGCTGCAACATCCGTACTTAACCTGCAAACTTGACATTTTCTGTACTATAGAGAGAGAAATGAATTCCAAACTGAATTCCCTCCTTAACCTCCAGCATGCCTGGCCACTCTGCGTAAATGGCACTATGCCTCTGCCCAGTTTCCTATCCCATCCCCAATTGAATCCTATCTCTGACCTGGTCAATAGGTTAAGACCCAGATATTCTTACCTGGGAAATGCTATTTCTTTTTTCCAGAGGCCAGAGGTGGTTTCTAGTAACCATCTGTATCATTTTGCAGGGGCTTCTTAAAATGGGTGGCCAGACTCACCTCACTGTGCCTAGGTGCCAATATGGCCTCTCAGCTTTATTCTCCTTGCAATCCAAAATCTGCCAGAACTGGACAGGTGTTTTATCCTTGAATTAAACCCTGGTTCATGATGTTTGCTTCTCACCCTCCCACCAGCTGTGCCTTATTTTTCTTTCATTCTAACTATTACAGAAAAGACAAGTCAGACGACTGCATTGCTGGGCAGTTCCAAGTAAACTGTGTTGGGAATCCTTGGTATTTTAACAACGGCTTCCTGCTGCCCTTGTGACTAATGGGCAACACAGGCCTGTTTATGAGTTCAAGTCTCTGTCCTGGGTCACTTAATTTTAATTGTTCTGTTATTTCATTTCAATCCTGGTATTTTTCTCACTGTTCATTTTCAATTTGGTGTCCAACCTATTCCTGTGAGCTTTCCTCCATTCCTAAACCAAGCACGCCCTGGCTTGCTCACTTTCCCACTTGGACACTCTGGATCCCAGCCAGAGGCAGCCCTTACCATTTGGCCCCTCCCTCGGTGCCCTTGGGCCTCTTTGGCTCCTAACTGCTCTTGCTGAAGGTCTTCCTTTTTACTCCATGATCTCCATGGCTGAGGTTGCTTCATTACTTCCGGAGGGAAATCTTGCTGCTTTCTGTAAACATTATTTTGTCATGGCATATTTATGTGGAAACCGTGCCATTTCTTTTCCTGCTTATTCTGAATTAATTAAGCATTCCTGGACCAGATATTAGTGGAAGACTTCTGTTGTATGGGGGCGGGATGATGGGGTAGTGAGAGAAGACATGGGCAATAGTAACCTTCCAGGTTTTACAGCTGAAGGACTCATCCTTTATTGCTACCACAGTGAACTTTATCTTAAAATATGCCGCATCTATGTCTCTTCCAACTTTGGGAATCTAACCTATTTCAGCAAGGACCTACCACAGTG